CTGGTGTCCCACGTGCTGTGTGTACACAGGAATATACATTTGTATGTGCTAAATCTATACTGATCAGCTTATCTGGCCACACAGGCCTCGGGTACAAACAGCAGCAGCACTTTGGTCCCTGATCCGCAGATCAGCACACACAGGAGCCTCTGCACCATGCCCTCCTTCCCACTCAGCGCTCTGGGCACCGAGCGTGGAGCAGCCCTGGGCTGGTGCCAGGGGCTGCACCTCTGATTCACCTGCCCAGCCTGGCGAGGAGGGGGCGAGGGAGGGATCAGATGAGGTGTTAGAAATCTCTGATTAGCTGGAGTCCCACTGCACATTACCAAAGTTCCAATATTTTTCCTTTCAGCGCTGTCAGTCGCCCCCAGTAACCTGTGGGAGTTGAGGAATTTCAGCTCCTTGCAGATTAAACCTCGAGAGCAAAGCTGTCACCCAGGTCTTTGTCATGCAAACTTGAGGCCAGGTTCAATAACACCCTGCTCCTCTTCTGCATTGCGGAAGCCTTGAAAAATTGATTTTCTGTTTTGCCACTGAGTTCAGTGGAACCAGACTTCAACCCTCCAAGGGAATCGTATTCCTGTAGATTGTAGCTACTTCTGAAATCCTTAATTTCACATCCTTAAATAGCAAACTTGGTGACAGACCAGGTGTGGGTGCAAACTTTGATGGATGTTGTTGACCATTGCTGTGTTATTAACTCTCTTTATGGTCTGGGATACCCTTTTTTTTTTCCTTTTCAAAATACATTTCACAGGCTCAAAGTCTTAATCCAAAATGCACAGGAATAAATATAAATTTGTATATTGATCACCAGAAAAGGATTTTTAAGGGAGTTGATCACTGCTTATAGCAGGAATGAATTTTTAAAAGAAAGAAGAAATGTAACCTGTTAGTGTAACATTAATCCAGGGAAAACACTTTCTGAAGCAGCCAGAACTTGTTAACACAGCCAACACCTAAGGCAGCTTTGTGTCTTTAAGCTCTACTAATATTGAACAATAATAATTTTGGTGGGGGAAAGTCTTCCCCTCTCCCTGAACAGGAACAAGACAGATTATTGACTGCCATCTCGAAAGATGGATGCTGTGGCCCTCGGAGTCTATTAATATTTGATGCTGATGGATGTGAGCTGGCAGCCTGAGTTATTAATGGAGTTTGGTTCCTTGGACCTCACCCTCAATCCATGGGGGAGAATTAACCAGAACAAGAACTGGATGCCCAAAGCTCTCGAGGTGCTGGGAAGGGCTGTCAGTTCCAGCAAAAATGGGTGTTTCTGAAGGGTTTACAGGCATGGAAAGTCATAGGTGGGGCTGCTTAGGCCACTGCCACCATTCATTCTGGTGTAAAGGAGACTTCTAGGGTCGCAGGAATTGTATCTTCCATCCTCTATCTTTGCCATGTTGGTATGTTCACCTGAGGTCTGGATTTCCAAAGGATCTGTGGTGGTAATTGCTGAGCAGGGATGAGGTGTGGGACACCCCGTGCTTGGTGGCACTGAGGTGGCCTCTCCCAGGCTGGGGGGATGCAGAGCAGAGAGCAGGAATGTGCTGCTCCACACAGAGCAGGGCATTTCTCACAGCTGGCCATGACCCACATTCCCTAAAGAGATTTTCCATTGTTTATGTTAAAGTCAGATGTGACTCCTGAAATTAGAAATAATCCAGTGGATAGATTTGGGGGTATATTTTGATAAATTGGCCCTTCTAAGTGAAAATATTGAAAATGAAACACCTTTGAAACTTTGCAATGTCCATATGGGTCATTCTGACTGGGAACACAGAGATGGAATATACCAAGTTACTTATAGCTCAATTTCTTAATATAGCTTTAACATTTCCAGGGGCATATGTTTGATTGAATTAGCTACTCCTTCATAGCATGGATACCATATCCAGGCATTGCACTATCCTCATTAACCTCCCAATCTTAATAGAAAACAAAAAGAATGATCACCATAAGGAGCACAGCTGTTGATTAATTTTACTAAATAGGATAGAAATATAAAGTACCATATTGCAAGAGTCAAGATTTAATACACACAATTTAAAATCAGTTTATTAGAATATATAACTCATTAACAGCTGGATGCATACACTGCAGCATTATCCACTTGGGCAGGTGGTGAGAGGGAAGTGGAATTTACATATCTTTAACAGTACCTGAATGCATTTCATTTTAGAGGTCATTCTCCCAAATCAAGTTCAAAATGTTAATAACAAGGTGTGCATTTATAATTAATAAAATCTTAAAGCCAGTGCTATAGTTCAAGAGCATTTTCCTCTTATGTAATTAAGAAGTTAAGTGTATTTGGCAGTTGTCACTCAGAGAGCTCTGAAGGTCTCACTTGTCAAACCTGGGGATAGAAATCTCATTAAACCAGGTGGGGTTTTTCAGTTAAGGTTTGTTTGCAAAGTACGTGAGGGGATGGTGGGCAGCCAGAATGCCCAGCTCTGTCAGTCCATAAAGCCAAGTACATTAAAGTAAATGCCAACACTCAAAGGCTTGGAACAAACAGCCTGATGTTCAGCTTGTGACAATCACAGAATCTTTAAGGTTGGAAAAGGCCTCAGAGATCACCAAGTCCAGCACCACCACTGTGTTCACCACTAAATCATGTCCTCAGGTGACACATCCCAATGTTTTTTAAAGATTTCAGGAATGGTGATTCCACCACTTCCCTGGGCAGCCTGTCCAATGCTGGACAGCCCTTCCTGTGAAGAAATTGTCCCTAATATCCAATCTAAACTTCCCCTGGTGCAACTTGAGGCCATTTCCTCACCTGATTATCCTGTCACTTGTTACCTGAGAGAAGACACTGACACCCACCTCACTACAACCCTTTTTCAGGGAGTTGTATCCCTTTTCTTTGAGATAATCTAAAGTGGTTACAGAAAACCAGTGAATCCACCCCAGTTGTGCCTGGCCAGGGAGCACTGCCCCCAACACCAGCTGCTCTCTGGTCACAGAACATCAGCTGAGACACTGGAAATCCCCCTGCTGCCTCCATCCCTGGCCCAGATGGTGTTTTAGAGGTGTCAGGATGTGGGGATTGGGGTGATTGATGGTTGGACTGGATGATCTTCAGTCTCTCCTAACCCTGATGATTCTGTGGTTGGTTAATGTGATTCCCCAATGGGTATTTTAACTCCACATCACTCTGTTCTCCTTTCCTTTTCAAAGGAATTTTCTTTTCCTTCTGGATCACTAGTTCAAATCCAGATAAGGTCAGTTGTCATAGAAATTATTAGCAGTACCAGCAGTTCTATGTAGTACATGAAATGAGTTGGGAGTTTCATTCACACAGGATAAGGGTTCCTAAGTGGCGCTAATTGGCTGTCTAATTGTCACACACAGGAGAAAGGCAGAGGATTGATTAGGCGTGGAGACTGAATGCCCCTCTGCCAGCCCGGGTTCCTGGAGCTCATTCCATAGGCATGCTGGCAGGGTAATGAGGGGCAGCCTGCTTTGGATTTTCTGGCTGTCAAGGCAGCATCTTTTCCTGCCAGGCCTTTCCAGGGGCACTTGTTTTACTCCACCAAGGTCAAAGATAGCATCTTTTACAAGCAGTGCCTTCACTCAAAAATCAGAGACTTGCAGGATTTACTTGTGAGCAGTATATTTTAACTGTTTCCTTTCCTTCCCCCGAAACAAAGTTTTTCTAAAAGATCTAAAATAGCATGAATCACACTGGTGTGAGGCAGAACTGCTCCAGCAAAGCAGATGGGGGTTTATGGTGCTCAGAAATCTGTTCATATTTCCTTGTGCTGTCTGGGTGTCTGCGGTGTGATATACAGGCTCCTGGAGGTACTTGTCACAGCATAGGGAAGCTGACATGGTGCACATTTCACTCCTGATAAATGGATCCTCCTATCAAAACAGTGAAGCCTCTCACCTGCAAAAATACATTTTGACCAACATCTTTTCTCCTGAGCTATGGCACAGCTTACACTGTGCAATGGAGTTACTTTTTAACTTGTAGTACGTTCACTTTCCCTGGCATGCAACTAAATTATTTAAGTTTGACTCACTGAAGTAGTAAATTTAGGAGCTAATTTGCAATCTGAAAGTCAGGATTACACACAGAGGAAAAGGAAGCCAAAATACCTTGTATATGTTAATGTGTAGACCCAGCTGTGGGAGTCAGTAAGTTTACTAAGGCTTAAACCTCAATTAGTGAGGTTAAACCACAATTGCTTTAAACCTTATTGTGCTCACATTTTAATTCCCTTGTTGTATCAGGTGAACAGTATTAGTAAGAACTGTGTCTATCCTTTCACCACACAAGACGATCAGTGCATGCAGCACATCAGAATGTAGCATTAGAGCAGTCTGTATTTCTGTAAAATGTAAGCATTTATTCTCGTTTCCCTCCCTTTGCCCACACCTAGAGCAGAATTAAGACAGAGACCACGTTTCTGTGTTCTGCTCTTCCCCTGTCTCTGCCACACACGTCACTCCTGTTCTGCTTTTTCCTAAAGTCACAATCTCATGCAAATTAATTGAAAACAAATGCAGGTACCAACTACACATCAAAAAGGTTTGATGCACCTGCCACGTCGTTTTCCTCTCTGCCAATTTGTGGAAGATAAGCATGTATGAGACCCTTTAGGTTTTTAACAACCCTATTCTTAGAATATATTTTCCAAGAACTGCAGAGCAATCTCTGCACGGTTTCAGACTGTATATTTTGTGATTAGTGCTTCGTAAGTGATGTTTTGCTTAATGATCTAACATCTGCTCTAGGAGGTTTGTTTTTGTAACTTCCCCACCTCCTGCTGAATGAATGCCAGAAACTTGTCCCTTTCCTCCAAGTCAATCAAAGCACTAATTGCATCATAATCATGGGAAGCAGCGGTGACTGCTCGAGTGCTGAAGACTCAGCAATCAACTCACAACACTCTGCTCGCTGTTCAGAGAGAGAAAGCTTCCCTGTGCCGAGGTGGGAATTTCCTGCATGCCAGATTTCTTCAGCTGACTCGGACTTTTCTGGGTTGCAGGGAGATGACTGCACCATTCCCTGCGAGGCAGGCACCTACGGCACCAATTGCTCGTCGGTTTGTAACTGCAAGAACGATGGCACTTGTTCCCCTGTGGATGGGCTGTGCTACTGCAAGGAAGGTAAACAAAATTCACATTTAACAAGTCCCTGCCACCAATGCCTGTCCCCTTTCAAAGAGGCACAGCTGTGCAGTCAGGAACTTCACTATTTTCTTGTCCTCCCAAGTATCCCAGCTCAACAGGGGCTGGACTACAAGTCCAGTCTGCCCTGAACAGGGGCCAGACTTGTCTGCTCTGCTGCACAAATGTGTCAGAGAGCTGGGTGTGGGGGCAGAAGCACTGCTCCTCTCCAGGGGAAATGCAGAACAGTCCTCTGGCTGCTGGGTTTTTAGGCCTTTGCTGCCTTGTTTCTCCCAGATTCCAAAGCCACTGGGCACAGGAGTGGAGGCAGCTTCCTAACTGTGTGTCCTGCAGCCCCTGGCACTGGGCTGTGCCTGGCTTTGGTCATCCTCACCAGCCCTGACCTGGCTCCTGCCTGCCCATCTCCACCTTGGGCTGGTCTCATTCCTGCTGCCCTGGGCTCCTGGCTCATCCCAGCTCTCTGCCCTTGCTGCCATCCTCAGCTGCTCATTATCCTGTACCCTGACATGGTGACACCCCAGCCTTGTGCAGGTGTCCTGTCTCCTGAACTAGCACAGGGGTTAGGTTGTGGCTCTCATTTATTTGGGGAAATAAGAAGTCTTGCCTGCTCCAAGGGGACTGACATCTTTTCTTCCCACATGTGTCTATAATTCCCTCCTGGACACGGTGGTGAGCACATCCCATGGATCCATTAAACACCTGAGAATTCCTCCACTGCTTCATGGCACAGCAGCTCTTCTGTTCCCCCAAAATCCCAACATGAGCTATGCCTGTATGACATACAAAAGCCCTAAAACAGAAGTGAGGCAAATAACAATAAAATCTGGCATTTCAAACATGAATTAATGGATCACTGTAGAACACCATTTAATGAGGGTGTATAAACCATGAGTTACTGCTCAACTCCATGACACAGAGCTGCAGTGCAATGAAAGTCATTGTGCTCCTGGTAGTTAAAATTTGAGCCTTAATGGCTAGAAATGATGGCATTGGTCTTATTTTAAGTATAATAGCTGCTTTATATCTTTATATTAAATAGCATTCTCAAAAAAAGAAAAAAAAAAGAGGTAAGAAACAGGCAGCATCACATGAAAAGTTCTTGCAGTCCTGTAGGTCCGAAGGTCTCGAGCCTGACAGAGAGGGACTGTACCAACAGTTCCCAGAAAGGCATCAGACACCTAAATCTGGTTACAGCCAGCACTGTGGTACCTCCATCTTCGTGCAGAGATGCTGGGAGATGGAGCTGGGAGGTCACAGTGAAAGGGTCAATCTTTGACCCCAAGTCAGTGTTAATTTACACCAAGAAACTGCTCCTAGAAACAAAGAGCTGCAGCTTGCCAGCTGCCTGTCTTGCTGTTTTCATGAAAACATCCCAGATGCTGTTTCTCCCCTGTTTCCTCAGGGTGGCAAGGAGTGGATTGCTCCATTCCCTGTTCAAGTGGAAGCTGGGGTCTGAACTGTAACCAGACGTGTTCCTGCAGCAATGGAGCATCCTGCAGGCCAGACGATGGCTTCTGCCTCTGCTCCCCGGGATGGCAGGGGGACTTCTGTGACCAGCCTTGTCCTGTGAGTGCAAATAACAATTTGGGGTGTTATTTAACAATTACAATTTGGGGTGTTATTTAACAATAACAATTCCACCCCCGTAAATCACAGTCCCCATAGCTCTGCTGAGCAGAGAACAGGGGAGGATCTCAATTTGTGTGTGATGTCTGAGGAAATCAAGTGCAAATAACAGATTGGGGTTCTAGCAGTCAACTGGATGTATTAGACTTTGCACTGTATTTTATCAGAGCTATTGCTGTGTTATCTGCATTTTCCTGAACGTCATTTTTTAAAGTGATTCCTCATTTGGTTCTGTATAGAAACATTAGGCACTGAGTTTCTGTCTTCTCTGTATGTTAATTTAAAACATGCAACTCAGCATTAAGAGGGATGTGATAGATGATTTTGCACATTTCAGAACAAAAAGCTGATCACTGAGAGGCTTTTTTATTTATATTTCTGAAGGATGGAACATATGGCCTTAATTGCAGTGAGCGTTGTGACTGCAACCACGCAGATGGGTGTGATCCTGTCACTGGGTACTGCTGCTGCCTTGCAGGCTGGACAGGTAAAATCAGCAATTCCCTTTGTAAACCTTGGGGGTTTGGTTCATTTTGGGGTTTGGGGGGTTATGTTGGCTTGTTTTGCTTTGCTGTTGCATTAATTATAGCCCTGGACTTGTGACTGCAAACTTCTAAATAATGGATTGAGACAAGATCAGCTGAACTTGCCCATATTTAAATCACTTTACTCATGATGGTGACAATAATTGGCATTCATTAAATTAGTATTCAGATGAGTTGAAGATGGCTCCAAACCTGCAGCCAGATGTTAGCCTTCTGTAGAAGCATCCTCAGGAGGGATGCAGATCATCCATAATCCTGCAGAGTTTTTCTCCTTGAACTGCCCTTTCCACAGGGGTGCAATTGTGGGATGGTGAATCCCAGGACCATCATACCTGGGATGCAGACAGGGCATTTCTGATGAGGCATTAGAGCTGCTCCATCATACAAAACTCTGAATTTTCCCATTTTCCAGTGGTTCTTGTCACAGAGTAGTTGCAGAGAGCAGATTAATGCTGGTTTGACAGGGCTGTTGTGATTACACAGCAACAGAGAGGAATATTCAGTGAAGCTGGAGAGTCTGGGCTGGAGTTCTCAGTACAATTAGACCTGCACTTGACTCCACACTGATGTTCTCTTTCCAGCTTTTGACAGCAATAGGGGGCAAGTTATTGACCCAACCATTTCACACTTTGCTGCCGAAAATGCTGGTTAATCTCTCTCTGCTCTCTGTTGAGGCCCTGGGTGGAAATAAAGTTCTGTTCCATATACTGCAGAACCATCAGTGGCACTGACAGTCAAAATACATTTATATTAACAGCAAGTCATTTGGAAAATTTAATTGTTTTTCAAACAAGTACAAGTTGGATGGATGCATGGAGCAAGGCAAGCTGATCAGGCAGCCAACATTTGGGATAGTGTCACCTTTCCCATTGATTTATGCCTTAAACCAACACATGCCTCCTTTTTCTGATGGAGAGGACACCCCCCAGCAGCCCAGATCCCAGGAGCATGAAGCAAAAGCAATGAAATTATGCCTAAAACATACAATGGAAATAATCTTTAAAGAATTAAATAAAATGTAAAAATACTAAGTTCTACATATTGTGTACAGCAAAGTTACTTTTCTAAGATATTGGACATGTAACCGTGAAAAGGACAATTTTCCCCCAGGAAAATCCATTTTATAAGCTCACTTGCATCCCCTCCTTCATTCTCTTGCCTTCCTCACTGGCTGGGCATCATTTATCTTTCTCTGAACCTCCTTGCCATCAATATATCCATCTATCAGGCTTTAAAACTCTATTGTTCATTATTGATGATCAGCAGAGAAACAGCTGGTGGATTTTCCTGTAGTCACTGTGAGCTTCTTCAAGGGAAAAAATGGCTTTTAAAAGTAGAGTAATTTGAAGAGAGATATTTATATAGACCTACTCTAAAAGTTTATTACACATATTCTGGATGTAGCATTCCAGAGGAAACTGCAGGGACTGACCTTTGCAGGCAATGCAGATTGAAGGTGTGGCTTTTTCTTAAAGGAATTTGCAGCAAATACTTTGTGCTTACTCCCATGCACATCTGTAAATGGCCATCAAATGCAGATACTAATCAATTAAAGGTAAGAATAATTTCTGATGTCCTTCTTTTAATTTCCATATTGAGCAAGGTAAGTGTATATTAACTTGGAGGGGGTTTGCTGCAGCCTAAGCACTTTATCCATCAGTGTGCTCCTGCAGTTCTTTTTTTCAGGATTTCATTTCAGGGAGGAAAATATTATATCCATATTTGAGACCAGGTTGGAGTTGCAATGGTGACAGGGCTCTGTTAGGTGGAGATGTTGATAGACAGAACCAACACGTATTTTGTCAATTCTGTTCCAATGTTTTTTCCACTTGGCTTGGCACCAGACACAAGGATAAATTCTGCTCCTACCAGTTTGAAAGTATGTCATTTAAGAAACTCTTCAGCTAGATAATTATATTTTCATATGAAGGAGTATGGCATCAGTGAAAGATTAATCTTATCTGCAGTTGTTGTGAACTGGGCCATGATGTGTATTGCGGTGCATTTTATTAATATGAGGTGATAAATAATTCAGGCTGAAATTTTTGCTTTCTGATTTTGGTACTAATTAGGCATGGCCTGAAAAATATCAGAAAAGTTCAGGATCATGGAACTTCTGAAGGTTCTCCTGCCCACTCACACTAAACAGAGAATTCACGTGGCTTTCTGATCCTAATAGCCACAAAACTTCATCTGAAACAGCATATTCTGTATGTTCATCCCAGACGTGGGACTCCCTCTTGATGTCTGTGTTTTATGTAAAGATCAAGGGGAAGATTGAGCCCATTTCCTTTAAAGTGGTTTCAAGATGTTACTGATATAAACCTTCAGGGACTGATAGATGGTAACAGCATGGAGGAGGACTGGCAAAAGAAGGAAAAAGTCATGTCCAGAGCAGCACACAATATAAGGTAATGGCACTCTACCATCCTTTTATTATGTCATGACATCCACCCAAGACTATTATTCAGGACAATGACCTTCTGTGGATACCAGCTGGGGGAAGGTAATTTTCAGCAGCTGAGTGTCCCTGGCAGATGGGAAGATGATGAAGAGATCCCCACGTCTCAAGCAGGAGATCACAAAGCTGTGCAAAGCAGCTGGGTGCATAAATGAGCACAGAGGCAGCAAGCTGCTCCAGCTGTGCACATCCCCTCCCTGTCAGCACCCTGGGGAACACATGCAGCCAGAGGCAGGGGCTGGATCAGCTCTGGGGATGGTTGTACCTGGTGTCACTGCTGCACATCGCCAGCCAAGTGGCACGTGGGGCCACCAACGGCTTTGGAGATAGCTCAGCAAGAACAGGAGCCCAAAATGACATTGGCAGAATGCTCTCGTGGTAAAAACAAAATGAAACTTGTCAAAATGTTGGCCAAAATCAGATCTGTGACCTGCTGATGCCATGCAGAGCTGAATTTCCCTCCACAGGAAGGAAATGGAGGATGCAGTGACACTGAGAGCCCAGCCCTGCCCTGGATGGATTTCTCCAGGTTGGGCATGTGTAACTTCATGTGTACAAATAGTACCCTGGAAATCCAAACAAGAGATGCTTGTATCTACTGCTGGGTTAAAAAGGAAAGGTCTTGCTCTTAGAGGACCAAGACTTGATTGTTCAGGCTGTTTTTTAAGGATCTCTTTCTCCACCTTTGCTTTAGGCACAGACACTTCTGTGCTTGCAGCTCTGTGTGTGTGCACAGGTCCCTTAGAGCTCCCAACACATCAGACATTTGTGGAAGAGGTGTTATTTTCTATACACTCAGGTTGAAATGAAAATGCTCAGTGCTAATTAAGTTTGGTTAATTAGGGGTCCTGCACACATTGAATCCACAGAGGGAATGGAAACACAGAAATGCTGCATGGTAGAGCAGCTCCTGGAAGTCCTTTGCAAGCAAACAGGTCCTGGAGAAGCAGGATGAGTCTCACCTCTCCCAGGTGAGGGAGATCCAGGCATTGCACTATCCTTATTAACCTCCCAATCTTAATATTAAAAAAAAAAAAAAAGGGAGATCCTCTCCTGGATGCTCAAGTGACAATGACAAGTTTATAAATTTCAGTTAAGATTCCTCTTAATTACTATAATCTGAAAGTGGACAGAAAAGGACCAGCTGCCCTGGTGGCCTTGCTGGGTGAGCAGGATGACAGTGCTGCTGTGCCAGATGTAATGCTGAGGCTCTGGAGATGACAGCTCCAGCTGCATCACCTGTGGGGATGCAGGGTGAACTTCAAACTCCCTCAGCCTGATCCCAGCTCAGGCAGCTGCTGGCAGCAGGTTTTGTGCCAGAAATGGCTTCCTCACGGATTCCAGGTGGTTGAAACTGTGTAGCCTTTAGCTGCTTCCCTCAGTAATCCCTCAATAATTAAATTAGAGCTGCTGGCCTGTCCTCTGATTTCTGGAGGAGCTTGATCAGAGCCAGGTAAGGCTCCCTGGGAAGACAGACCCAGGTGTTGCCCATCCTGCCCCCAAAACCTGAGTCCATCCATTTTCCCACTCCCAGACTGCCCACAGGCAGAGCCACAGGCCTGGCTGCTCCTCATGCTGAGCTCTGCTCCTCCCTGAGAGGAGCCCATGTGCTCCAGGTTAATTGTGGCAGTGTGTGTTGTGTTGCCCTTCCAGCTCTTACACTGGGTTTAAACAGGAAGTGATCTATTCCACTCCTCTAAATGCTAAGGCCAGTTAAAATCCTGTTTATCTGAATTCCTTTAATCTGAAATGCTGTCTTATCTGCATCTTGTTCTGCCTTTTTTCTTGTGTGGTGCTCTGGTTTTGCAGAGCTGCTGTGGCGATGGTATCTCGGCTCCCCACTGAGCTGGGGTACCCAGAGGCTTCTCTCAGTATCCAAAGTTTATTCACTATATTTTAACATCCCAAAGAGATGTGGGGAAAATTAGCCTGGTGCTGTAGATATGAAATGGAAAACATAAAAGTGTGTATCCCATAGTTAATCATAAAAGAAGCCCATATAGATTTTCCTTAATTAATCAGGATGGCAAACACAGGTATGCAAATGATGCATGCTGCTGAGGAACAAACATCTTATTACCTTGGTGCTTTAGACTTCCAGGCTCCATTCCTGGCTCATAAGAGCTGCCTCCCTCTTTGCTGTTACACAGGAAATCAAAAGACACATTTCGCTGTCCTTTACAAGCCCAGTCACTTCCCCACGTTGCCAGAGCACAGCTCCTGATGGTCCCTGCTCGTGTCCAGCTGCTGTGGGAGTCTGGAGCTGCAGGATTTCACCTGGGGCTGTGAGGGAGGGGTGGGCTCAGGAGGTGCTGCTGGGCACAGCCCTGGGCAGCTCCAAGGGACCAGGCTGCAGGGCTGGGAACATTTGCAGGCTGGCAGTGACATCTGCACTGTCACTCAAACACAGAAACGTGTTTCTTGCCTCCTGTGGACACATTAATTCAGGAAAACTGATAAGCCTGTTACTCAAGGGAAAGC